AAAGAAAGAAGGAAGGTCTAGAGGCATGGTTCAGCAGTAGAGGGTTCTGGGTTCAATCCCCAGTACAATAAACATAATTTGTAGCTATTTCAGTCTTTTATCTTTTTATTTTGCCAGGCCTGGGGTTTGAACTCAGAGCCTGGGAGTAGTTTTACCAAACCTAACACTCTACCAGGAGCAACAGCTCCATATCTGGCTTTTTGCTGGTTAATTGGAGGTAAGGGTCTCACAGACTTTCCTGCCTAGGCTGACTAACTGTGATCCTCAGCTTCCTAAATAGCTAGGATTACAGGAGTGAGCTACCTGAACACAGCTATTGCAGTCTTAATTACATTGCTCCTCTTTTCAACTCTCCAACAAAGAACAAAAAGTGCAGAATCAGAAATTACTTTTCTAGAGTTTACCTTCCATTCTTCTTTTTCTATCTTCAAAACGAGTCTTCCATCTTCTCTGGTGACCTTTTCTTTTAGTTTTGTTAAGCTTACTCGTTCTTCCCAAATCCGGACTAGTCTAGGAGAACAGAACATCAATTTAGTTCCTAAGTATTGACATAGACAGCTATTGACATAGACATATCCACACTGTTGTGTGGATATCAGAATTGATTTTGCAATAATTATAAAAGCAATCAGTACCATAAATGTCCCAAAGTAACAGTGGATTAACTCCCACTCCTTTGGGAATTGTCCTTTGTGGGGTTATTTCCTCTCCTTTTGCCCAGGATTCAAAATTATAAAGACAAGCTGTGTCTAAATAATTAAGATGTTAGCTGATGAAACTCAAGAGTCTCAATCATGCGAAGCAAGACTCTACTGCCTTCTTTTAGTTTTACAGACCCTCCAACAACTGGAGACATTCAGAGAATGTCCAGATGTGCAGAACCTCTCACCTATTCATCTTGCAAATTGACTCCACAAAACATGTAAAATACTTGGAGGATTAGCTTGAAGAAAAATAAGATGGGTGCCAGTGGCTCACACCTAATACTTACATCCTGACTACTCTGGAGGCCAAGACCTAAGGATCCTGGTTTAATGCCAGCCTAAACAGTGAGACTCTTATCACCAAGTAACCACCAAAAAGCCAAAAATGGAGCGGCATTTCAAATGGTAGAGCCCTAGCTTCGAGTAAAAAAAAGAACTTAGGGATAGCACCAGGTACTCAGTTCAAGCCCCAGAACCTGTGCGTGTGTGCACGCATGCACCAGCGCGCGCACACACAGACAGACACAGAGTAATGTGTGTGGGTCTAGTATGTTATCTTCCTACTTACTTTCCACCTTCCTTTCTCTCCCTTTTGCGTTCCTCAGTTCCCTAAGATGCTCTTATTTTGCAGATGATAGTCCCACATCTTTTCAGGGCCCTTGATTAGAACTAATTTATTTCCCCTCTTCTCTCTAGTATTGGCTTTTGAAGCAGTTCAGAGATGGACTTGAGTCTGATAGCATGCCTTTTTAAAATTAATTTGTCTATTTTGGTGCTGAGCTAGAACCCAGGGCTCTGGGCATGCTAAACATGGTTCTAAGTTTTTGAAAAGTATTATAATTCCCCATATATTTTATTTGCAATAGCCTTATTGAGATACAATTCATATACTGGTGGGTTTGTGATATATTTATAGTTTTAATTAATTACTATGTAATTCCAAACTACTTTTGACTTAAAGAAACTCATCCTCTCCAAACCTATCCATAGCTGTCATTCTTCACTTTCATATTTCCCCTTCTTCAGCAATCATGAATCTCCTTTTTGTTGTTGTTGTGATCCTGAATCCTGAGTCTTGAACTCAGGGCCTGGACACTGTCCCTGTGCTTTTATGCTCGAGGCTAGTACTTCAGACTTAAGCCACAGTTCCACATCAGGCTTTTTTGGCAGTTAATTTCCATTACAGTCTCAGGGAATTTCCTGTCCAGGCTGATTTTAAATCATAAATGTGAGATCTCAGCTTCCTAAACAGTTAAGATTACAGGCAGGAGCTCCCAGCTTCCAGTATAAATTCATTACTTTCATTACAAGGACAAGCAGCTAAATAAAATGGTTCTTAATTGATGACGATGATTGTTTCCTTTGAGACCCCTCTTAATGGGCCCTGCTTGGGATACCCTCTTTGTCTTGGTAGAATATAATGCGAGCAAGAATCTTACTGAGCAAGTTTGGTGAGCATCCCTTGCTTTGCTCCCTAACCACTTTACTTCAGCAATAATCTTATCTGCCATGTCAGCCAGAAACCCCATCTGACTCCTTTCAGGGCATTTCCACCCACTCCCTCCCCTGCTCTGCCTGCAATCATCCTTTTATTTATTTGTTGCAGTCAGAGTTGAGTCCAGTCCCTCTCCACCACTGTAATACTCTCTAAAACTCAAAACTATCGTAATTGGGACAATATAAACGCAGTACATTTCACAGGAGTAGCTTTATTTATAAAAGGGGAAAGTCAGGACATTGAAGACCTAGGTGAATGTAATGTTTACTGAGTCAGATGAAGGTGTGAATACCAGTTCTGCATTTACTGGCAATGCGATCCTTGAAAAGACACTTCGGCCTGTCCCTTAGGTTTTTCTACTTTAAATGGAGAAAAATAACAGTATTTATATGTAGCCAGGACTACTCATCACCCTCTGACATCTGTTGTGCCTCTTTCTCAATAATGGGTCCTCTAGTGGGCATAGTATCACATACCTGTAGTCCTAATATACCCAGAAGGCTGAGGTGGGAGGCTATTAGAGTTTGAGGCAAGCTTGGGCTGCATAGCAAGTTTCTTTATGAAAAAAATCCTTTAAATTAACTAGGCACTAGACATTTAGCCATTCTCTCTTGCAGCTACAAACAGGTGGTGTGACATTTTGCCAATGGACTATTACAGAATTGTGTTCAGTTCCCTTGAAGGGCAACTTCCTGCTGGCTGGAAATACATGTGATGGCGGCAGTTGCCTATCTATTTTGGGCAGCAGGTGAAGGAGGAGGCAGACTTTAAGAATGGAAAACCATGGATGGTTGGGCAAGTAAGATAGAGCCCAGAGTGTCTAACTTGGTGGAGTGCGATTGCATGCTTGTTGGCTTTGCATGGAAAGAATGTTTTCTCCTCATCCAGATGCTGTCCCTAAGCTTTTGTCTGTTCAAGGCTTGTGCTCTACCACTGGAGCCACCATAGCTTCACTTCCAGCTTTATTGGTGGTTAGTTGGAGATATGAGTCTCATGCACTTTCCTGCCTGGGTGGGTTCTCAACTGCTATCCTCAAATCTCAGAAGTAGCTAGGATTACAGGCATGAGCCAGCAGGGCCCAGAATCTAAACTTTTTTTTTTTTTAACATTCACCAGGTGCAAATGGTGGCTTATCAATAATCTTTCACCTATTTTATTTATTTGGACTATCTATCTATCTATCTATCTATCTATCTATCTATCTATCTATCTATCTATCTATCTATCTATCTATCTATCTACCTATCTATTTATCTATGACAAAGTCTCACTATATAGCCCAAGCTGGCTTCAAACTCTCCATCTTCCTGCCTGAGCTTCCCAGAGTGCTAAGATTACAGGCATGTGCCACCATGACCAACTCTCCCTTTTTCTTTAGTGAAAGAAAACCAATTGTTACCCTACCCCCAAGGAATCATGGAATGCATCTTGTTTTCAATCCCATTTCTCTGCCTGGGGTGTACAAATGACCCATTTCTAGCCATTGAAGGAGAAGTTCACTAGAGGGAGCGGAGAAACATCTCAAGTTCTGGAAATGATTTAGTTGTCATACTAACTCAGGAGGCTGAGATCCAAAGGACCAAAACAAGATCCAAAGGAAGCCTAAGCAGAAAAATCCTCTGAATCCACTTTCAAAATAATCAGCAGAAAGTCAGATGGGAGGCATGGCCTGATTGGGTGAGCACCAGTCAAGCAAGTGAGAGGCCCTGAGTTCTAATTCTACTACAGCCCAAACAAAAGAATGGATGAATGAAAAAGGAGAACATGCTTGGCTGGCAGCCTGGGATTGGCAGTAGGAAGTAAGAACAAAGCTGACTTTACCAACATGGAAGTTCTGCTCTACTTTTGGAGCTGTCTTACTTCTCAATTGCCTAGGCCTTTTATATTGAAGTTTCTGTGACTTGCTAACTGAAATTAACACATTTACTTTTTTTTTTTTTTACCAGTCATGGGGCCTGAACTCTGGGCCTGGGCGCTGTCCCTCAGCTCTTCAGCTCAAGGCTAGCGCTCTACCACTTGAGCCACAGCGCCACTTCCGGCTTTTTTTTCTTCTTCTTCTGCTTATGTGATGCTGAGGAATTGAACCCAGGGCCTCATGCATGCGAGGCAAGCGCTCTACCACTGAGTCACCTTCCCAGTCCCCAAATTTACTATTAAAAAACAAACAAACACCTAATGAATGAGAATTGTAGGGGACCATGTGGAATCTAGGAGAAAACAGACTATTCTTGTAAAATCAGTAGGAAACTCTGAAGACAACCAATCAGGAAAGTAAGTAAGATCTAGAAGAGGCAGAGGAAATGAGAGCCAGTCTCCTTAAATATAACCCCAATCAGGTAATCAGGTGTTCCTCAGAGGTCCTAGCTCAAACTTATAGCTATTCAAGTAGCTAGAAATTTGTAGTACCTTCTACTACCAGTTTGTGTGTGTGCATGTGTGTGTGTGTATGTGCGTGTGTGCATGTGTGTGTGCATGCACACTGTTACTGGGGCTTGAACTAGGGCTTTTGCACTCTTTTTGTTCATGGCTGGCCCTCTACCACTTCAACCACACCCCTACTTTCCACTTTTTGCTGATTTATTGGAGATAAGAGTTTTAAAGATTTTTCTGTTCAGGCTGGCTGTGAAGCTCCATTTTTGTATCTCAGCTTTCTGGGTAACTAGGACTATAGGTATGAGCCACTGGCAAATGCCACTTCCCCTTCCTCCCTCCCTCTCTCTCTCCCTCCTTCCTCCCTTCCTCCCTTCCTTCCTCCCTCCCTCCCTCCCTCCCTCCCTTCCTTCCTTCCTTCCTTCCTTCTTTTCTGGTACTGGATTAGGGATTAAGGCCCTTTCATTTGCTAGGGAGCTGCTCTACCACTTGACCCGTGCTTCTAGTAGTTCTTATTTTAGATACTAAAAAATATAATACTGAACAAACAATCCTGAAAATGAGAGGGAATGATAACTATTCAAACTTCGGTGAATATACACAGTACCTACCACAAGACAGAGGATGACCACCATTTCCACATACAAATGCTTTTTAAAAAATCAGTGGAGGGGCTTGAACTCAAAGCCTTGGCTCTCATTTGACTTTTTCATCAAGACTGGCACTCTACTTCTTGAGCCACACCTTCATACCTGGCACTTAGTAAATAAGCTTTCATAATGACAAGACTCTGAGTATTAACTAATTCAAAATAACAAACATGTCATAGCATACTTCTGTTGAAATTCCTTCTCCCGCTTCAGATCTTCATTGTGTTTCTTTATTCTTTCTTCCCAAACTTCCTTCGCAGCATGAAATGCCCCAGTGCAAACCACGTTCTCTGTCATGATTTCTCCACATTGTCAGCAAGGTGTCAACTTCATTAGGCTTTAAATAGCAGGATCACAGTGGGCCATTCAGAAAAGACCTAATAAATGGTGCACCAGAGGGTGAGAAGAATGTTCATTGAATACTTTATTATCATAATAGATATAATTATCATAAAAGATAATGATTACTGAACACTGCTCCAGAAACTATTCTATGTCATTGGTTCAGTTGGTGGATTGGTTTTTGGCTTTGTTTTTCTCTTTGCCGGTACTGGGGCTTGAACTCAAGGCTTTGTGCCCTCACTTGGCTTTTTCACTGAAGGCTGATTCTACCACATGAAGTCATACAACTTCTGGCTTTTTGGTGCTTCACTGTAGATAGTCTTTCAAATTATAGGTGTGAGCCACAGCAATGCCCAGTGGTTGGTTTTGGAGACAGGGTCTCACAATGTTGCTCAGGTTGGTTCCAGACTCACAGATTCAAACAGTCCTTTTCAGATCAGCCTCCTAAGTAACCAGTATTATAGGCATGCACCACCATACCTTATGACTATTGTACATATTTTACATGCCACATTTCCCCTTAAAACCCTTATATAAAATATTACAATTCAAATACTTTCATGGATTATTTGGTAGTGGGGATGTGCATATTATAAGCACCCTGGGGTAACCTTTTCTACAGTAAGATATTGGTGAAGATGTACACTTGTGGAATTTTTAGTACAGTGACTAATAGAAGTTATGGGAACAAATCACTTTGGGAAACATTTTGGCTCTATCTTGTAACAGTTACCCACATTTTCAGCAAGTAATTTAATTTAAAAAAACAATAAATATAAAAAATAATAAATGTAAAAATAAATGTACTTATTTTCTGACTTATAAATTGATAATCCAGCTGTGCATCACCTTTATGATAATAATAAAATTAATTTTTAAAAAAGAATATTTGAGACATTAAAAAAAAACAAAACTCATTGAGGCCAGGCACTGGTGGGTCATGCCTGTAATCCTAGCTACCCCAGAGACTGAGATCTGAGGTTCGTAGTTCCAAGCCAGCCCAGGCAAGAAAGTCTATAAGAATCTTATCACCAATTAACCAGCAAAAAAATGAAAGTTAATTGGAAATAAGAGTTTCAGGATGCTTGCCTTGCATGTGTGAGGCCCTCAGTTCGATTCCTCAGCACCACATAAGCAGAAAAAGCAGGAAGTGGGGCTGAGGCTCAAGTGGTAGACACTAGCCTACAGCTGAAGAGCTGAGGGACAGCGCCCAGGCCCAGAGTTCAGGTCCCACAACCAACAACAACAAAAAAAGAGTTTCAGGAATTTTCCTGCCTGGGTTAGCTGCAAATTGGGATCCTCAGATCTCAGCTTCCTGAGTAGCTAGTATGACAGGTGTGAGCCACCGGCACCTGGCTCAGACCAACAGTCTTGATGAACATGAACACAAAAATTCTCAACAAAATACTCGCAAACCAAACTCAACAACACATTATAAAAGTCATGCATGCACCACAAGTAAGTGGTTTTACTCCAAGGATGCAAAGATGGCTCAGCTGATGCAAATTCATAAATAGAATACAATATGTAAATCGAATTAAAGGCAAAAAAATCACAAATTCATCTCATGCCTCAAAATAATAAGGGCTACATAAGACAAACCTAAAAGCAGCATCATACAAACATCTAAGGAGAAGAACAAAGATGGAATGAATGTCCTCACTCAACTGTCAGATCCAGGATGTCTGGTTAACTCTTAATCAGTCCACAATGTCCCTGATGACTCATTTCCCAGCCTATGCACTGATGGCTGGTCATTGCCAGGCCGTAGCACAAGGAAGAATATGGTGAAGCATCTATGTACAATTTATTTGCATAGATAAGCCAGTGTGGTATGGATGCTGACAAGGAACAGTTTAGCATATGCAGTGCTTTTGGGCCTATAGGAAGGAGGTGGAGGTGGTTTTGATGAATTATGAGGAGGAAAAAAAGTTTTCTTTCTGAATTTCATGGTCAATAAAATATTTCACTTTTAAGTTGGATGTTTCTGCTACAGGTTTTTGATTCAGAAGTTAATATTTTGCCTGTTAACTGTAGATGCATTAAAATGGGAAAAGGTACTTTAAAAAAAAGTCCCTGAGATTCAAATGGAAGAGAAACCATTTTAGCTGTTTGCTTATTTCTCGGGGCTGGGACTTGACCTTGGGTCTCAATAGACTAGACAAGAGAAACTATTTTATAAATGGGTGTTTGGGTTGTAAAATCTGTTTGTAAAACCGAGATCCTATTTTATATTGATATCAAAACAATTTAATTTCAAATGTGGTTGGAAAGGTCTGAAATCTTAGCTTATGCAGAGGCTGAGACCAAAGGATCATTTGAGCTTCAATATAGTATAACCCTGTTGTGTGTGTGTGTGTATATGTGTGCACATGTGTTTATATATATATATATGTATATACATAAACCAAGAAAGACAGTAACAGTAGGGCTATAGCTTTGTGAAGATATAAGAGAACTTATAATAAAAGCCAAACAAGAACATGAGGGCCTAAATTCAAGTCATAGTACTGGCATACACATATGCACACATATACACACATACATATACATATACACACACAAAGTCAAGATAAAACAAAAACCTTGATATTACATGTATGAATAATCTAATTACCTGGGCATATTCCTTATAATGTCTACTCTCAGCTATATTGAAATATTTTAGATATTTTAAATACTTTAGATAACAAATAATGAAAAATATTCTTAAAGTCCCAACTACCTATATGTGTCTATGTATTTTACTAGATATATGACAATTCAGTCATTTGTGGATTTGTTTCCTCATTTGCCATTCAATTTCGGTCATCTGTTACTTTTCCCTTGATGACAGATTTCCCTCAGAAGAGAACCAGCCTTTAACACAAGATCTCTGTCTCACTTTGATTGACATGTAATTGAAAAGCATGTAGCACATCCAAGAGATCAGTTTTTCAGAGGGGTAAAAAAGACCAAAGAAACACAAGCTCAGGAGTAATGTTTCTTGCTTGTAGGGAAAAGTATGACATTCCTCTTACCTTACCCCAATCCCCCTTGCCCCCAAAAAAGACTCATTCAAGTTTGGTTGTACATTCTGGCAATTATAGATGCAGGAAATTCATCGTCAGTGAACTGTATGTGAATAGAGAGAAAAATGGTTGTAAAAAATACTTACCAGTGCTGGTAGATGCTGAAGCTAGCATGGCCAAAAGTCAGCAATGATCAATCAGCTAGGAATGGATTACAGGGTGATTTTTGTTGTTGTTTGTTTCCAGCGTGGCTGCAAATGCCAACAGTCCTCAGGGAGGCTGTAACCCAGTGACATGTAATGTCAGCCGACTTCTAATTTTAGCTCATGGACAAGGCTGAGAATAGCAAGAATCCCTTGGGGCTCGGGTGCACAGGATCAACTGATAAGGGACATGCGTGTGAAATGCTATCTCACGAGTGCTATAAAAGGATCAGACACAACTGCTTCTAAGCTCCAAAAAAGAATTCCTATTCAAAGTCCTTGTACTTTGTGTGACTGAAACATTAGGAAATAGTAGACACTATTTCAAGCAGGGAAACAGAAATAAAACAAAATCCCTATCTAGTAAATGAGAGGCCTGGAAATACCTGACCTATAGGTACCCATACTTCAGAGAAAGGAAAAGTAAGCATGTGGTTAAAGGTGGATAATGAAGGAACCCCAAACTTCTGCTCAGTCATTCTTTTTTCTTTTCTCCTTTTCTTCTGAGTTTCTTCTTTCTGTGTTTCTTTTCTTTCTCCTTCCTTCCCTCCTTTTTCTTTCTTTCCTTCTTTCTCTTTTTCTTTTTTTATAGTAGGAATTGAATCCAGGGTCTTGCACATCTGAGCTATACTTTTTCCTCACAAAAATTTAAATTGAACTGACCTAGGTGCTAACCCTTAGCTTTTTAGATCAAAGCTGGTACTCTACTTTTTGAGCCAAAAACTACACTTCTGGCCTTTTGATGGTTCACTGGAGAGAAGTGTTTCACAGACTTTCTTGCCTGGGCTGGCTTTAGAATCACAACCCTCATATCTCAGTCTCCTGAATAGCTAGGATTACAGACGTGAGTCACTGGCATCTAGCTTGAGCTCTTGTATGTGTGTGTGTGTGTGTGTGTGTGTGTGTGTGCCTGTGTGTGTTGGTCCTGAGGCTTGAACTCAGGACCTGGGCACTGTCCCTGAGTTTCTCCACTCAAGGCTAGTGCTCTACCACTTTGGGCCACAGTTCTACTTCCAGTTTTCTGGTGGTTTATTGGAATAAGAGTCTCACAGATTTTCCTGCCTGGGCTGGCTTTCAACTGTGATCCTCAGATCTCAGCCTCCTGAGTATGTAGGATTACAGGTGTGGGCACCAGCGCCTGGCTCAGTCTTCTCTTTCTTGATCTCCAAATTTGGGTAAACCCCCTCTGAAGAAAGGCATGGAGAATGAATAGATTTCTACATACAACTCACTCCAAATTCAAAGTTGGAGATTGTTTATCTCCTGAACTGGGTTTCGGCCTCCACTGAGACTTCTTTGGTTCTGAGCGTCAAACTCAGCCGCTCCTGCCCAGCCATGGAGGCGCAGGGAGAAGGCCAGATCCTCTGCCAGCCGCTGCTCTCACGGGGTGAAGGACTCTCTTGCTTGGTCCCTGGGACCTGAAGAGACGCTTCATCAGTGTTGGCTGGGGTGAAGTCATCCCCTGGAGACCAACATTGGACATTCGGGTGGCCAAGGTTCTGCCTGGCTGGCTGGCAGGCTCTGGCTACCAATGCTAACCCCGCCTCCTGCTCACAGTGCAGTCTCCCATCTTTCCTGCAGGCTTCTCCCTATAAGTACTCCTCCCCAGCTTAATGGCAGCTGCTGCTCTCTGTCTGATGGACTCAGCCTGCCTGTCTTTCTGGCATTGAACTCTTCCTCCCCTCTTGGATGTGTGTGGGGTGCTTTATGCAGCCAAGACATCTAACAATGAAACTGCTCAACTACTCCAGAAGTCCATGAGGCCAGAGGTCTAAGGCTGAGGGATGCAAGGTAGGGATCCAAGGGCAGGAATGCAAGGCCAGGGCCCACGGGGCTGGTTGTCACTGTGCTCCTTCCTCCTTTGGTTCTACTCTGCAGGGACTAACCTAGGCTGAGATTGAGCTCTGCAGACACCAGGCAGGGAGGGCTCGGTCGTGAAGTACTGATTCCATTCTCTATATATCTCCCTTTGAATGTGTAATAAATACAAACAATAGAATATTATCAGTCACTTAAAAGCATGGTAATGTGGAATTGTTTATTGACATAGTTACCCAGAATATAAATTGAAAAAAAAATCAAACTGTAGACAGTGGACTCTAATTCCATTTATATCAAATAGCTATGTATACAGGTCAATACATAAAAAGGTAACAGTTACAAGATTATATGTTATGTTTTATTTTGTTTATAAGACTCCATACCATCTGATTTTCTATCCTTATCTTTCTTCCTTTGGCAGTACTGGGGTATGAACTCAATACTCCCACACTAAGGAGACAGGACTCTGTTGCTGAGCTGTCTCGGGTACGTTTCTGGCTTCCTGGATAGGTGTGCACCAGGACCTAATCTACTTATATGCGGGTCATCTCTGTGATGAGGGCTGATGCCACCTCACTGAGCTTACTTCCATTGAGATGGAGTCTTGTGAACTTTTCTGCCCAGGCTGGCCAAGGACCACCATCCTTCTGATGTCAGTAACAAGGATTACAGGCACCTCTGAAAATCAAGACAGGAACTCATTCATAAGTCTCCTGCAGGATGAATTACAGCCCTATGTGCCATAACCCAGCATCTGTTTATTTATGAGGTACTAGGCTTTGAAATCAGGGCCAATCAGAGCTTATTAGGCAGCTGCTTTACCACTTGTATCACCACCTCCAGTCCCTTTTGCTTTTGTTATTTTCCAAGTAGTGACTTCTTTTCCTCTAGCCTGGACTGTGCGCCTATTTATATGTGCCACATAGAAGAAATGTGAGGTGCACATCATGAAATGCTCAATTTCTCTAGCCATAAAAGAAATGGAAATAAAGACAACATTGAGATTCCACCTCACTCCAGTTAGAATGGCTATCATCAAGAAATCTAGTAACAAAAGATGCTGGAGGGGATGTGGCCAAAAGGGAACAATACTGCATTGTTGGTGGGATTGTATACTTGTTCAACCACTTTGGAAAGCAGTATGGAGGTTCCTCAAAAGACTCCACATAGAGCTCAGCAACCCCTCTTTTGGGCATTTACCCAAATGATCACAAACAAGGTCATACTAAAGCTACCAGCACAACCAGGTTTATCGCAGCATTAATCACCATAGCTAAGATATGGAACCAACCCCAGATGCCCCTCAGTAGATGAATGGATCAAGAAAATATGATACACACACACACACACACACACACACACACACACACACACACACTATTATTCTATGCCTCCATCAGATGCCTAGAATTTATTGGTTGAAAAGGAGTATTCTCACAAACTTTCTCCATGGATTGACCTCAAATAGCAATCTTCCCTTAAAATTAGGATTACAAATGTGAGCCACCATAAACAGCTCACTGGTTTTTGCATTCCCATTTTGAAAAAAAAAAGAGTTTTGTCACAAAATTTCATTTGAACAACTAATTTTGGCATGTAGTCTTCAACTGAACAAGTTGTATACAACCTCGAGCCCAGGACTACTCTTCTTTCTTTTTTGGCCCGTGCTGGGGCTTGAACTCTGGGCCTGGGCACTGTCCCTGAGCCTCTGTGCTGAAGGCTAACACTTTACTACTTGAGTCATAGTGACACTTGTTTTTTTTCTGAGTAATTTACTGGATATAAGAGTCTTGTGAACTTTTCTGCCTGGGCTGGCTTCAAATCTCGACCCTCAGATCTTAGCCTCCTGAACAGCTAGGATTACAGGCATGAAGCACTGGTGCCCAGTTGTTGTTTTTAAATGCCAGTATTGAAGCCTGAACTCAGGGCCTGGGCATAGTCCTTGGCTTTTCCACTTTATCCTTTGAGCCACAGCTCCACTTCTAGCCTTTTTGTGGTTAATTGGAGATAGTGTTATGGACTTTTCTGTCCAGGTTGGCTTTAAACCATAATCCTCAGGTCTCAGCCTCCTGAGTAGCTAGGAGTACGGACAAAAGCCATGGTTAACCAGCTTAAATAGATTCATCTTGATGTTACATATACATTTATATACACACACACATAGAATGTTAGTGGCATTAGGATTTGAATTCAGCACTTCTCAGTTGCTAGGCAGGTGCTCTACAGCTTGCCATGCCTCCAAGCCTGACGGTCTTTTTTTTTTTTTTAAGGTTATGGGGCTTGAACTCTGGGCCTGAGCGCTGTCCCTCAACTCTTCAGCTCAAGGCAAGCGCTCTATCACTTGAGCCACAGTGCCACTTCCGGTTTTCTAGTGGTTTATTGGAGATAAGAGTCTCATGCCCAGGCTGACTTTGAACTGAGATCCTCAGATCTCAGCCTCCTGAGTAGCTAGGATTATAGGCATGAGCCACTGGCGCCTGGCTCTGACGGTATTTCTGATTAAAGTGAATCTTTAACAAAGTGATCATGTGAAGTCTTCATTTCTATATAAAATTTATTATTTCATTTTTCTGTCCATGATTTCCCTTTATCTCCTCTTCAGAAAATTCCTATTTTTTTTAGCTGAAGATCCAGAAAATTAAGAAGTAAATTAAATATAGTAGCTGCTACCTTTAAAGTACCTCCCTATCACGAGTGACTTTGTAAAGGCTAAGTGCTTTCCAACAAAATGCAGAAGCATTGCTAAAATTCTAAAACCAACATATTTAACACCTTACTGGTTATAAAATTACAATTAAAACCAGGCTATAATTTCTCTTGAAAAAAGATGTCAAATTTTCAGAATAAAACATTTACAGACGATCCACAATAGACTGCAGGGTATCTTAAAAGATCAGGATAATTGCACTTATTTTATGAAACAGTTCACATGATTGTAGGGAAATGAAAAATATTTCTGTATGTGTATTCATTTTCCAACTAAATATAATTTAAAAGCTTCAGAAAGAATCAGTTATTCAGTACAAAAGAAATAGCAAATACTGTATGCATATAGTCACTTGTCTCCTAGTAACAGTAATTTTGTTTTCTTTTTTGCCAGTCCTGGGGCTTGAACTCAGGGCCTGGGCACTGTCCCTAAGCTTCTTTTTGCTCAAGGCAAGCGCTCTACCACTTGAGCCATGGTGCCACTTCCAGTTTTTTCTGTTTATATGGCACTGAGGAATTGAACCCAGGGCTTCGTACATGCTAAGCAAGCATTCTACCACTAAGCCACATTCCCAGCTTTAATTTTGTTTTCTTGACCTTGACACAGACCTCCGCACCATATTAAGGAGCCACACTCTGACCTATAAAACGGGAAAACACATAGGAACCAGCCCACCATTATTCATTTTCCACAAAAGTCTCATAGAACAGTGCTATTGTGCATTAGAACCCCAATCGCATAATACAAGTCATTTATGGTACAAATTGTAGTGAAGAATATGAGCTTGGCACAGCTAGGCTTTGCATCTTCTTTGGAAGTTCAAAGATGTCTTACAAGTGTTCATTTTAGATCTAGTAGCATCAAAGCTGGGTTTTCTAAGTAGGACTTCCACAAGTTGGAGAAGCGAGACATGGTAGCGCCGTCAATAATTCGATGATCAGCTGACCAGCTCACGTTGACTATGTGTGCTTTATAGACTTCTCCTTTCTGGTTAAATCGGGGAAGAGCCTAGAAACAAGGTGAGCCAAGAAACAAGGAATGAACTTTCACCCACTCAGAAGCTTAGGATCAGATGACAATGGTGTAGCTTGGGCAAACCCTCTGCCCTACAGAGAGGAAGGGGGCGGCTCTTGTGGCTTCTGAAAATGCTAGCTCCCATTTCTCCCACCTGGAGGACAGATCCCAAGCTGTCAGTTTCTCCATGGTGCCTCCTGTCCCATAGTTTCCATGCTTATATGAAATGTCATCTCAGAGATCAAGTATTTAACCATTTTTAATGGGCACCCGCTATGTGCTAAGTACTATTATAGACTCTAGGGAGACACACACTTAGGATATTAAAACACTTAAGATACTAAGGCTCCTCACTGAAGACAATGAGAGAACAGACTGTGTAGATGCCCGAAGCAAGACATGGGAGGGACAAGACCAGAACAAGACCGGAGTGTTGGAGGAAGGCATGGTCTCAGTGGAGGGTGGGGTGGGGGAGAAAGCTTATAATTTATAACAAAAAGAAGAGAGCAAAGCAGAGATGAGACAAAAAGAGGGAGGAATTAAATAATATTTGTCTTTATCAAATAGAGGTTATATTAGATCATAATGAAGACTGTTCTAAGAAATGTGCTTCAGTCCAGCACTGGTGGTTCATTCCTGCAGTCCTAGCTACTCGAGAGGCTGAGACCTGAGGATCAATGTCAAAGCCAGTTGAGACAAAAAAAAAAAATCCATGAGGCTCTTCAATTAACCAGCAAAAAGCTGGAAGCAGAGGTCTGGCTCAAGTTGTAGAATGCCAGCCTTGTATAGAAAAAGGTAAGTAAGCCAGATGCTGGTGGCTCACGCTTGTAAATCCTAGCTACTCAGGAGGCTGAGATCTGAAGATAGCAGTTCAAAGCCAGCCCGTACAAGAAACTCTGTGAAACTCTTATCTCCAATAAACTACTAAAAAAAGCTGGAAGTGGTGCTGTGGCTCAAGTGGTAGAGTACTTGCCTTGAGCAAAAGCAGCTCAGGGATAGTACCCAGGCCCAGCAAAGAAAAAGCAAAGCAAGAATTTAGGCCTAGTTCAAGCCTGAATACTGCCACACAAGCACACGCACATGTGTACACACACACATACACACACACACAAGCATTTAAGAAAGAAAAGAAAAACCATACTTCATATCTTAAAGAAATCATGGGGGGAGAGTAGTTGAGGACGTGGGAGGGAAGGGATGGTAGGGGAAAAACAAGGGAGGAGGCAACAATGCTGGAAAAGAAATGTATTCATTACCTTGCTCATGTAACTGTAACCCCTCTGTACAGTATTTTCACAATAAAAAACTTATTTTAAAAATAAGTGGTGTCTTAGATCTGTAAACACACACACACACACACACACACACACACACACACACAAATATACCCAAATTGGCAAAACTATACAAACAGTAATAATTAACAGATGAAAACTTATTTTGCCTGAAGCCAAAGGAAAAAAAGGAGAAAAAGAAAAAAAAGAAATCATGGGTGAAATGATTAAAACATCTGTTAAGCAGGTACTTGTAGACTGCTGTTCATGCGGCAGTATTCCTAGATGCTGGAAAAATATGAACCGAAATACTCAGACAGATGGACTAATAAAGCCAAACATGGATTACACAGGCCCTGAGTTCAAGCCCCAGTACCAGCACAACACAAAAACAAAAACACAGTATACTTAATAGAATATTATTTAGCTTTCACAAACAAATGAAATGACGATCCAACCTATACCATGAATTTTGAAAATATGCTAAGAGACATTAACAAAGACATAAGGGGACAAATGTATGATTCCACTTTTATGAAGTACCAGCATAGTCAAAAGCAGAGACGGGAAGTACAGAGGAGTTGCGAGGAAGACGAAGCGGGGTTTGCTGGTTGGGGGTACAGAGTGCAGCTTTACGCATGATCAATGGGGATGGCCGTGCCAGACCGTGAAAGAACGTAAAGTTCATATTATGTTTCTCTTGCTCTCTCTATATACATATGTATATATGTATATGTAAGGTCCGCTCCTGGATGGCAAGCAGACTCCACCCTCCTCAGCAAAGTCTCCACCCAGTACCTGCCTTACCTAGGCAACTGGGTCACCTGGAAGAGGTCACATCTGCATCCACTGAGGTCACATCCGAATTTGATGTGGCCACACCTTTCCCCGCCCATACCCTACATAAGGCCTAGCCCAGGCCCAGATGCTCTCTTGCTCTTCTTTTCTGCTCTCTTGCTCTTGCTGCTCTTTTCTTGCTCTCTCTGTTCTATTCTAGCTCTCTCTCTGTTCTTTTCTTGCTCTCTCTCTTTCCCAGCCACGTGGAGTACAAACCTTGCCTGGTCCCAGCAGGTCTACCCCTTACCTGAATACCACGTGAGTGCTACTGTTCTTACCCCTCTCTCTGCTCTTTTCTGGCTCTTTTCTCTCTCTTTCCTCTCTTCCCAACTCTCTCTCATTCCCAGGCCTTTCCCAGCCACGTGGAGTGCCAACCCTGGTCCCAGCAGGTCTACTGAATAAACCTACCCCTTACCTGAATACCACGTGCGTGCTGGTGCTGTTCTTACTCGGCTACCTCTTTTTAAAAACCTAACAGTATATACATACACACACATCTATGTATATCTATGTGTATATATATTGCCAAACTGTATAGGTAAATATACATATATGTTACAGACAACTCATTTAGAAGGAAATAGCTTAAAGGAAAAGTAAAAACCAAACTTTATCAAATCCGTTTGACAGTTTGGAAACCAGGAAGCCAAACTTTGGTGAGTCATCAAATGCTGACTTGTGGTTGGAAACAGAATTAAGTAACGGAGCAATTACCACCCAGAGACAACACCTGGTTGGCAAAGAACAAGCCATTTCCTTTTTTTCTCTACCTTCTCTGTTTGCCAGAAGATCAAGCGGACTTTAAGAAGAGGGAGGAGACAGCTGAGGGGACTCACAGCTACTGCAGCAGTAGAGATTGGGAGAATTGTGGTTTGAGGCTAGCCTGGGCTAGACCTGGGCTGGGAAGGTGGCTCAGTGGTAGAGCGGTAGAGTGGTAGAGCGCATGCCTTGCATGCATGAGGCCCTGGGTTCGATTCCTCAGCACCACATAAGCAAAAAAGAAAAAAGCTGGAAGTGGCGCTGTGGCTCAAGTAGTACAGCGCTAGCCTTGAGCTGAAGAGCCGAGGGACAGCGCCCAGGCTCAGAGTTCAGGCCCCACGACCGAACCAAAAAAAAAAAAAAAAAGTTCATGAGACCTCATCTTAATCAGCGAAAAGCTGAACAGCATCCTTACTAGGTGGGAAATGGAAATAAGATTGCGGTCCAGGCTAGCCTGGGCAGAACGCAGACTCCATCTCAAAACATAACCAAAATAAAAAGGGCTGGGGGAATGGATCCAGAGGTAGCAAGAGCAAGGAGGTGGTGTCAAACTCTAGAGTCCTGTCTCTCTGTCCCCTGCCCTTCTCTACACCCTCACTCACCCCCAACTACAGGTGACTCACACCTGGAATCCTAGCTACTCAGGAAGTTGAGATCTGAAGATCAAGGTTCAAAGCCAGCCCAGGAGCAAAGTCTATAAGACTTTATCTTCAGTTACTCAATTAAAAAAAAAAAAAAAGCCAGAAGTAGAAGTGTGGCTCAAGTAGTAGAGCTTCAGTCGAGTGAAAATGCTAAGGAACAGCACTAAGGCCTGAGTTCAATGCCTAGTACCTGCACAAAAAAGGAAAAAAAAAAATGAGAGGGGGGGGGAGGAGGGAGAGAAACAGAAGCAGATAACATACTAGCTAGAACCATCTGCTAGAAAGCCAATCAGAGAGGGGTTCAAGGATAGTGTCTGTGAAAGTTGTTGCTGTTTTTGCTGCTCCTGGGGCTTGAACTCAGGGCTGGGTTTTGTCCCTGAGCTGCTTTTTTTGCTCAAAGCTATCTAGTATTCTATCACTTGAACCATAATGCCACTTCCATCTGTGAAAGGTTGAGTTGCCATGTGAAGTAAGAAACACATGGAAGCCGGGCGCCAATGGCTCAGGCCTGTAACCCTAGCTACTCAGGAGGCGGAGATCTGAGGATCTCAGTTTGAAGCCAGCTCAGGCAGGAAAGTCCATGAGTCTCTTATCTCCAATTAACCAACAAAAAGCTGGAAGTGTAGAAGTGGTAGAAGACTAACCTTGAGCAAAAAAGGTCAGGGACAGTAGATGGGCCCTAAATTTAAGCCCCAGGACTGACACCGAAAAAAAACCACCCCCCTCCCTGCCCCCCCAAATCACATGAAGACAGTAACAGATATGTTCAATGTGGAAACATCACAACCACAGAGCTGAAGAAAGGTTAACCAAGGCCAAAGTGGTAACAGTAACATAAAATGACAGCACAATGAAAGTGGCATGAGGGGTTTCTCAGCCCTGAGTTAGTTGGAAACTCAAGGCCCATTTCTACAAATTCTGATCAGCTGGCGTGAGATTAGCCAATGAACACAATTTAAGTTCCAGATGGTTTAAATGTACAGTTCTAGATAAGAATCATTACACCCCAGTTGTTTTGTTTGCTTTGTTTTTTTTTGTTGTTGTTGTTGTTTTGATTTTTGGTGCCAGATCTGAAATCAGGGCCTGGGCATTGTCCCTGAGCGTTTGTGCTCAAGGCTAGTGCTCTCCCACTTGAGCCACAGCTCCACTTCCAGCTTTTTGCCAGTTAATCGGATCTAAAGAGTCTCATAATCTTTCCTGCCCAGGCTGGCTTTGAACTATGATCCTTAGATCTCACCCTCCTGAACTGCTAGGATTACAGGTGTGAGCCACCTGCACCCAGCTGCACCCTAGTTTTAATCCAGAGTCTCTGGAAACATGGTGGTACAACGCCTTTGTGGGAATCACCTGGGTTCTTGCTCTAACTATAAATTTTGGGGACTCTGCCTCCAAAAACAAGCACTCTGCGCTTGTGACCAGCTCTTGCAATGATTCTTGAGCATGAGTAAAGTTTGAGGGGAAAAAAAAGTTCTAAATTGTATTTTTCTTTTCTTTTTGGTTGCTCTGGGTTTGAATTAAGGGATTCATGTCCAATTTGCTTGCTTGACTGGTGCTCTACCACTTGAGCCATGCCTCTGGCCTGGCTTTTTACTGGTTTTCGTGTGTGTGTGTGTGTGTGTGTGTGTGTGTGTACCAGTCTTGGGACTTGAATGTTGTCCCTGAGCTTTTTTACTCAAGGCTGGCACTCGAACATTTGAGTCACACTTCTACATCTGGCTTTTTGGGTAGTTATTTGGAAATAGGAATCTCACAGACTTTCCTGCCTGGGCTGACTTTGAACTGTGATCCTCAGTGGCATGTGCCACTAGCACCTGGCAGAAAAGCATTTCTTTTAAAAATTTCAGAATGCCTAATAATAATAGTAAACCAATCCAAATTGTTATTTACTAGAAAGTAAAAAGTTCATGCTGGTTGCTGATATCTCACACTTGTAATCTGAGCTACTCAGGAGACTAAGATCTGGAGGATGGAGGTTCAAAGCCACCCTCCACAGAAAAATTTGTTAGACTCCATCTCTAGCACAGCACCCAGGCCCTCAGTTCAAGCCCTAAGACCAGCACCAAAACATTTGAACTTAGGGCCTCATGCTTATTAAGCCAGGTGCCCTACCACTCGAATCATCCTCCAGCCCAATATATTTTGATAGAAGCAGACTGGCTGAATTTATGGTGATGCCTGTATGGACAGGCAGCTACCACAATTGCTGGTGGAGCTCTCCAGAAGAAACATCTGACTTACTGCGCCAGATCCACAAACTCAAACTTAACAAGCCAGGGGAAAAACCTTAGAAGAAATGATTCATCTTCTTGGAGTTCAATTTCTGCAACCTACTTAAATGGCTCTTAATTACTTACTACACATACCTTAATCGATCCAAGGGCCCCAATGGCTACTTCGGGGGGCAGAATCACTGGTTTGGCATAGGTACCACCAATCTTCAAAGAAGAGCAGAGATAGGAGGCTTTCAGGACACATACCGCAAAAATGGCTCTATTTTTAACTGATCATATAGTTAGAAGTGATGACTTATGAATCTGAGCATGTCAACTCACCGATCCTATGTTGGAAAGAGTAAATGTCCCTCCAGTGAGGTCTGGGGTGCTGAGCTGACCTGATGAACCCAATTTCTGTAAGCGGGTCAGCTCTGCAGCAATCTCAAATACAGAGCGGACCTGAATATTTTTCACATTAGGGACGATCAAGCCCTGCTCAGTATCCATCGCTATCCCAATGTTATGAGACGCCTAAAAGGAAAAAAAAAAATATATATATATATATACATATATATGATTTATTTCACAAATAATAATAAAAAGGATATACATTCATCATTTTCACTAAGCCAGGCGTGGCAGTGTACACCTGTAATTCCAGCCCTTGGCAAGCTGAAACAAGACAGCTACCTATATAGCAAGACCTTATCTCAAAAATACCAAAATCAAAAATATAAAGAAAGCCAGGTGCTAGTGGCTCACATCTAGAATCCTAGCTACTTAGCAGATTGAGGTCTGAGGATCTCAGTTCAAAGTCAGCATAGGCAGGAAAGTCTGTGAGACTATCTCCAGTTAATCAGCAAAAATCTAGAAGCAGAGGTGTGATTCGAGTGGTAGAGCACCAGCCTTGAGCAAAAAAAGCCAAGTGAGAACATATAAAGCTGAATTCAAAACCCAGGACCAGCCCCTTCCCACCCTCACCCCCCCAAAAAAACCCAAACTAATAAATAAATAATAAAACTATTTTCACCAGAATAGACAGGGTTTAAAGAAATACTTCTAAAATAATTTTTAAGCCAGGCTCCAGTGGCTCTCACCTGTGATCCTAGGTACTCAGAGGCTGAGATCTAAGAATTGTAGTTTAAAGCAAGCATAGGCAGGAAAGCCCATGAGACTCATATCTCCAATTAATCACCAAAAAGCAGGAAATGGAGATCTGGCTCAAATGGTAGAGCAAACTAGTCTGAAGCAAAAAATAAAACTAAAAATAAAAAATGCTCAGAGGTAGTGCCTAGATGCTGAGTTCAAGATCAGCATACATACAAAAAATTAATTTATTCATTTAAAAAATTAAAGGGGCTGGAAGGGTGGCCTAGTGGTAGAGTGCTTGTCTTGCATGCATGAGGCCCTGGGTTCGATTTCTCAGCACCACATAAGCAGAAAAAGATGAAAGTGGTGCTGTGGCTCAAGTGGTAGGGTGCTAGCCTTGAGCTGAAGAGCTGAGGAACAGCACCCAGGCCCAGAGTTCAGGCCCCACGACTGACAAAATAAAATAAAATCAAAATTAAAAGGAAAGCTAGCACTGTACCACTTGAGCTACAGTGCCACTTCCAGTTTTCTGGTGGTTTGTTGAAGATAAGAGTATCACGGACTTTCTTGCCTGGGCTGGCTTTGAACCATAATCCTCAGATCTCAGCCTCCTGAGTAGCTAGGATTACAGGTGTGAGCCACTATTGCTTGGCTTAGATTTTTTTTTTTTAGATAAGTTTATGCTGGTAGATGTGTAAGATACACCTGTACCAATATCTATAAAATGTTATGCTAAGGCTGGGCACTGGTGGCTTACACCTGTAATCCTGCCTACTCAGGAGGCTGAGATATAAGGATCACGGTTCAAAGCCAGCCGAGGCAGAAAAGTCTGTGAGACTCTTATCTCCAATTAGCCACTAGAGAACTGGAAGTGGCATTGTGGTTCAAAGTGGTAGAGTGCTAGCCTTGTGTGGAAAAGCTCAAGGGCAGCGTCCAAGACCCAGAGTTCAAGTCCCACAGCTGACAAAATGAAAAAAAAAGATTATGACTTGAAGTATGATGGAAGTATCTCTAGCCTATAAACATTTGTACCATCTTCTATTTATAATAACTATTTTTATAACAGATAGCCCACCTTGTATATTATATTCTGGCAGTTTTCATCCACAGAAGCATTAAGGATGGGGAACTGCAGCAATCCCAAAGAAGCAGCCTGTGTATCAGAAGAGAACACAGTGTTAGCACAACAACTCAGGAAAAATACAGGATTCCAGGAAAAAAAGAGGTATAAAGGAGAGAGGGGGAGAACTCTTATTTATGTTGAGTTTAATTTAAGATTCCAGGTTCCTAGGTATATTACTTCCTTTGTTACCAACAACCAAGATACAATTAGGTCACCTTGATCATTTAAGGATAAGGTAGTCAGCTTGTAAACATCAAAGTTAACTATTTAAACTGTCAAAATTCCAAAGGAAACGTCTCAGTTCTGAGTGATTTCCTTTATTTCATACAGTCTTCAGATTTCTATGAGAGGCAGGCTCTGGTGGCTCACTCATGCCTGTCTTCCTAGCTACTCAAGAAGCTGAGATCTGAGAATCGAAGGTTCAGAGCCTGTCTAAGAAGGAAAATCTGTGACTCTCATATCCAATGAACCTCCAAAAAACTGGAAGTGGAATCGTAGCTCAAGTGGTAGAGTGCCAGCCTTGAGCAAAAGAAGTTCAGGGACCGTGTTCAGATCCTGAGTTCAAGACCGGGGCGGGGGTAGGGGGGTGGGGTGGAATTTCTGAGAAGCAACCAGCAGTTCAAAAGCACATTAGTGATTAAAATAGAAAACTAGAGGAAAGTTTTTTCCCTGAGCAGAAAGTACATCAAGGACAAGGATTTCTAAGTGCCCTGATCGAAAAGGAATCGTGTTCTACCTGGTGCCCTTGGCCAAGTGACGCGCAGAGCTGGTCCCCTTGGGCTTTAGGACCTGAGTCTTCCTTCCTTCCTCTGTGTGTTGCTCAGAGCCCCCCATTCCTTGTGGTTTTCCTTACGATCACTCCTCTCCTTCCCATCGTGTGCTGATTTTCCTGTTTCCCTAGCACAAAACGGTCTTGATAGGTTTTCTGTCCATTCATAGACCTCACAAACAAGGTTTGCACATTGCATTCAGCGGTCATGCCTCATATGAAATTTAGAAGATTGTAAGACAAAAATGCTTCAAAGGATCCGCGCACCCCAAAGCCCTGGTCTAGTCCCATGAAAAGTTCTTTAGCTTGCAGCTTGCAGCTCATGTCTGCAATCATGTCTGCAATCCTAATTACTCAGGAGCCTGAGATCTGAGATTCAGCCTGGACAGGAAAGTCTAGGAGACTCTTACTTCTAATTAACCAGGAAAAAAATCCAAAAGTAGAGGCGTGCCTCAAGTGGTAGAATGCTAGCTCAGAGAGAGAGAGAGAGAGAGAGAGAGAAAGAAAGCTAAGAGACAGCAGCCCTGAGTTCAAGCCCCAGGTATTAGCACAAAGCAAAAAAAAAAAGAGTTCTTTACTCTTTGTGTGTAGTTAGTTTTGTCTGTGGGTCAGAGGTCTGGACAAGAAAAATGAAATAAAATCCTTCAGTTAAGAGAAGGGAAGCCGGGCGCTGGTGACACACCTGTAATCCTAGCTACTTAGGAGGCTGAGGAGATCTGAGGATCGTGGTTCAAACCCAGCCTGGGCAGGAATGTCTGTGAGACTCTTCTCTTCCATCAGAAAACCGTAAATGGAGCTGTGGTTCAAAGTGGAGCTCTAGCCTTGAGCAACAACAGCTCAGGGGCAGCGCCCAGGCCCTGGGTCTAAGCCCCATAACTGACAAATAAAAAGCAAGGGAAAAAGCTCTGACTACACAGAGGGCTTTCTTTCCTGGGTTTTGTTAGGCTAGAGTTGAGAAAGTAAAACAGTGGAATGCAAATACAATGAAAAGACATGTTACAAATCTTTAATTACATGACTTGGAAGCTTCTTTATGTACAAAATCAAGGGTCACACGGAAGTGTTATGAGAGCAACACAAAGATTTAAAAAAGAAAATACAAGAGCCCAAGGATTAGGTTGTTTTTCCCCGTGCAATACTTATTTCTTTATTGGTGGTACTGGGAGTTTGAACTTAGGGCTTTGCGATTTGCTGGGCCAGTCCAGTAGTCTACCACCGCAGCTCTCTTTTTGCTTTCATTTTTTTCAGATAGGGAGGGTCTCACATTTTTTTGTTCAGGGCCTCAGACCAAGATCCTCCTATCTGTGCCTCCCATTAGCTGGGATCAAGGCACACATTACCATGTCTGGCTTTTGTTTTGAATAAGTTTTTATTAACATTTTGCCTGGGTTGGCCTAGATTCTTGATCCTCCTGAATAGTTGGGATTATAAGCATGAGCCATTGTACCTGGTCCTTTTGTAGAATTTTATAAATGTTCTTAAAATTTGTATGCTAGTTCAGAAAAAATGTCCTAAATTTTATTTTCATAGTACAGATTTATTTCATTCAGATTGGTGCATTGAAGGCAAATAACAATAAAAGATATTCCAGGGATGAGGAAAGAGAGTAATCAAGGGGATTATTCTGATTAAAATCTATTTGTGTGAAGAGGTGACACTCACCAAGATGAATTGTGTTCATGCACTGCTTTAAGTGGCAACTCCTTTGTATAACTATTAAAGATAATA